CACAACTGCGTTTGGGGGCGCACAACTGCGAGCAGAGAAGCCGATAACATCCAGGACTGCTGCTCCGAGGTCCTGCAAAGCACCCTCCCTTCGCACGCACACAAACACACGCGCACTGGCCCACCTTGCCCACCAACACAAACACGCCTGGTTTTGTCCGCCTTGCACTTTCAACACTCAACGTTTTATTTCCCTTTCCTCTTTTTTCTTTTTTATTATTCCGAGAGGCCTGGTTGCAAAAGAGCAGCCACATTGCCAAGCAGGACTTCCCCACAACCTCTGTGTGTGTGTGTGTGTGTGTGTGTGTCACATACACACACACCGAGTTGTCGACAGATTGTGTGGCACCAACATTTATCAACCCAGGCAGCTGCTCCCCTGCCCCAAACCCCCAAGAGGACGCACGGAAGCCATGCGTCGCACCGAACATTGGGCTCTTCATTGCCCAATGTATTTATTTATTTTTCTTTAAAAAAAAGAAATAAACCAGCAATCTGGGTTTGCCTGCCTCTTCAAGCCACCTTTCCCACTGGGGCACACTAGGGCTCCCTCGAGACGCATTCTCCTTCCAGGCGCATGGCAAGAGATGCAGTCATTTTATACACCGAGCTCCACGCTGCATTGCACACGATCTGGGCTGCACACACACACATACACACACACAATTACACACACACACACACACCCTCCTCAAGACACACACTACCATGCCAGAAGCACACAAATCTTCACGTTCTCACAATCAGCACACACAACCCCAAGAAGGGGAGAAAAACCCCAAAACGCCCAAATCCTGTTTGCCCACATCTGGCTCTTTGGTAGAGACACACATCAGGAAACACAGCCTGACAGGTAGAGATGGTTTCTCTTCTCACAAAAGCCCCGTTTTCCTTTCACACGCCCACCTGGCTAGGGAAAAGGGGCTGCTGCTGCTGAGATATTTTTTCATTTATTTAAAAGGGGCAGAAAACCCAGAGGGAAAAAGGAGGGTAACTCTTAATATCCATTTTTAATATCCACTTTTTAATATATATATATATTTTAACCCATTTCGCAACCTCGCGAGGCGCTCAGTCCAGCTTCGCTTCTTTTGGGGGGGGCTTGGATTTTTTTCCCCCACGTTGCCGCCCCTTGCATTGAGTTCCCAAGCCGGGAGGATGCCCGCAAAGACCCCGGCGGCTGGGTTCGCACGACCACGACCCCCCCACCCCCTCCTCAACCCAGGTCAGCGAAAGGCCAGCCGACGCACAGCAGCGGCTGCCGATCCTTGGAAAGCTCCCTTAAGCTCAACCCGGGACCCGCAGAGGTCGGGGAAAGAAGCGGGAAGCTGGGCTGGGTCGGGCAAAGGCGAAACCCTCCCGGACGTTGCGCGGGGCAAAGCGTCCCCCTGATAGCCGAAGTTAAGTTGCTTGCTCCGATCCCAGGAAGCGCCGGATCCGCCGGCCCGAAGAAGCGGAGCGGGGGATCCAATCCCCTTCCCCTACTAAAAGCCCCGCGGGCGGGCTGCGCTTTAAACGGTGGAGCTTGCATTCGCCCACCCGGGAGCGCAAGAAGGGGCAGCAGCACTCTGTGCATGCCCAGAGGCTCGCTTCCCCGATGGGATTCCTTCCTTTTCTCTCCCGTTTGTTGCCCAGCCCTCCTCATGCTTCGAAGCGGCCAGGGGGTCCGATCCCTCCCTCCTGTCCCCGTCGCCCTCGGGCACTCTGTTCACGCCCAGAGGTATCCACATTTCCCCCGCCCCTCTCCCTTCTTCCCGGCTCACTCACCGGCTCCGGGGCGGCTTGCCTTGCGCGCCCAGGCTGCTCTTTTCGCCCGGCTTACAGCGGAGCCCGGCGGGACGCGCAGCCTCGGCTCGCCCGCGGAGGCTGGAGTGGGGGGGGGGGCGGAGAGGAGGGGGCGATCCCTAGGCACGTCCCCGCCTCGCCTCCCTCGCCCGCCCCCGGCTTGGCCTTGAGTCGCCGCCCGTCGCCCAAGCCGGTCGGAGGAGCGGAGAGGAGCGCAGTGCGCAAGGAAGGGAGGCGGGACCCCCTTAGCGGAGGGAGGGGGAGAGGAGGGGGCTCTGGGGGGAGAGCAGCACCGCCACACACACACACACACACACACACACACACACACACACACACACACAC